CGGCGCCAGCGAAATTCCGAGCCCCTAAATTGGTTATCGCGCTTACTGCTTAACGAGAATGCTTGCCACAAGGTCGATCCCTCTTTTTTTTTTTTTCTTATTCTTTTGCGTTGTTTCTCTTCAAAGCCACTTTTGCGTGCGTACACTCGGATGCCGGGATAAAGATAAAGTGTTTGTAAAATATAAAAAGTTGGAAAAAGTGGATGAATTAACAACGAGTGTACACAGTAATTGGAAAAAAACACCCTCTGTGCAAGATAAGATACGTTTTAGAAATTATAATTTTCAACGAGTCAAAAGGTAATTACGCGGCAGAGAGATATCCTCAGTGTAAATAAAATATTCTCTTTCTTTCTCTCTCTCTCTCTCTCGCGCGCGCGCGCGCGCGTCGGAAAAGATTTCTCTCTTAAAAAAAAAACTAATAATCGCGCGTAAACTAAATATACTTCCACAAACGTTGTGACATGTTTACAGTGCGGACACGTACGAGAGAGTATTATTACTCTCTCTATCACATATTTACGGTACGTTACGTTAGCGTGTTATTATATGCACATATATATATATGTATATATATGTATACTGTGAGTAATTTCTTATTTTCTTTTACGGAGTTAGTTAATTTGCAAGAATAACTTTCTCCCAAAATATCGCAATCATCAATTGCCAATTTCGTTAAATATCACATATATTTCGGAGAACGCTTTACTCGCGCTCTTTCAGAAGATATTCCTGCGTCGCGTAACACAGAGACTACAGCCAGAAGTTGCCATTACGAAAATGCGGATCTATGCCAAATTCGCGGTATCCACTGTTCCTTTTTATTGAGATTTTCGCTAATCTCGCAAACACGCCAAAGAATGCGCGCGCTATAGCTTGTTGGAAAGCCCGCGCGGGATGCATGTAATATCGTTTCCAGACGTGTGTTTTATTTCTGCTCGCACAGCTGTCTCATATTACACGGAATAATTTTATTAAATACAAAATTATTTGTTTTTTTTTTTTTTT